ATATAATACCTAGGAATAAACCTACCTAAGGAGACAAAAGACCTGTACTCAGAAAAGTATAAGACACTGATGAAAGAAATTAAAGATGATACAAACAGATGGAGAGATATAGCATGTTCTTGGATTGGAAGAATCAACATTGTGAAAATGAGTATACTAACCAAAGCAATCTACAGATTCAATGCAACCCCTATCAAACTACCAATGGCATTTTTCACAGAACTAGAACAAAAATTTCACAATTCGTATGGAAACACAAAAGGCCCCGAAGAGCCAAAGCAACCTTGAGAAAGAAAAACGGAGCTGCAGGTATCAGGCTCCCCGACTTCAAACTATACTGCAAAGCTACAGTAATCAAGGCAGTATGGTACTGGCACAATATAAATCAATGGAACAGAAAGTAAAGCCCAGAGATAAACCCACGCACATATGGTCACCTTATCTTTGATAAAAGAGGCAAAAATATACAATGGAGAAAAGACAGCCTCTTCAATAAGTAGTGCTGGGAAAACTGGAGAGCTACATGTAAAAGAATGAAAGTAGAACACTCCTTAACACCATACACAAAAATAAACTCAAAATGGATGAAAGACCTAAACATAAGGCCAGACACTATAAGACTCTTAGAGGAAAACATAGGCAGAACACTCTATGACATAAATCACAGCAAGATCCTTTTTGACCCACCTCGTAGAGAAATGGAAATAAAAACAAAAATAAACAAGTGGGACCGAATGAAACTTAAAAGCTTTTGCACAGGAAAGGAAACCATAACCAAGACAAAAAGACAACCCTCAGAATGGGAGAAAATATTTGCCAATGAAGCAACTGACAAAGAATTAATCTCTAAAATATACAAGCAGCTCATGCAGCTCAATATCAAAAAAACAAACAACCCAGTCCAAATATGGGCAGGAGACCTAAATAGACATTTCTCCAAAGAAGATATATAGATTGCCAACAAACACATGAAAGGATGCTCAACATCACTAATCATTAGAGAAATGCAAATCAAAACTACAATGAGGTATCACCTCACACCGTCAGAATGGCCATCATCAAAAAGTCTGCAAACAATAAATGCTGGAGAGGGTGTAAAGAGAACCCTCTTGCACTGTTGGTGGGAATGTAAATTGATACAGCCACTATGGAGAACAGTATGGAGGTTCCATAGAAAACTAAAAGTAGAACTACCATATGATCCAGCAATCCCACTCCTGGGAATATACCGTGAGAAAACCATAATTCAAAAACAGCCATGTATCACAATGTTCACTGCAGCACTATTTACAATAGCCAGGACATGGAAGCAGCCTAAGTGTCCATCGACAGATGAATGGATAAAGAAGATGTGGCACATATATACAATGGAATATTGCTCAGCCATAAAAAGAGATGAAATTGAGTTATTTGTAGTGAGGTGGATGGACCTAGAGTCTGTCATACAGAGTGAAGTCAGAAAGAGAAAAACAAATACCGTATGCTAACACATATATGTGGAACCCTGAAAAAAAGAAAAGGTTCTGAAGAACCTAGGAGCAGGACAGGAATAAAGACTCAGACGTAGAGAATGCACTTAAGGACACGGGGTGGGGGAAGGGTAAGCTGGGACGAAGTGAGAGAGTTGCATGGACATATATTCACTACCCAATGTAAAATAGATAGCTAATGGGAAGCAGCCGCATAGCACAGGGAGATCAGCTCAGTGCTTTGTGACCACCCAGAGGTGTGGAATAGGGACAGTGGGAGGGAGACACAAGAGGGAGGGGATATGGGGATAGATGTATACTTATAGCTGATTCACTTTGTTATACAGCAGCAACTAACATAACAATGTAAAGCAATTATACTCCAATAAAGATGTTAAAAAAAAACAACCTAACAACCTGATTAAAAAATGGGCAGAGGACCTGAATAAACGTTTTTCCAAAGAAGACATACAAATGGCCAACAGGCACATGAAAAGGCGCTCAACATCACTATCCACCAGAAAAATAAAATCAAAACCACACGGTATCACCTCACACCTGTTGCACTGGCTATGATCAAAAACACCAGAAGTAAGGACTGCTGGCGAAGATGTAGAGAAAAGAGAACATCTATGCAGTGTTGGTACAGTCAGTATGGAAAAGAGTATGGAGGTTCCTCAAAAAATTAAAAATAGAGCTACGATATGATCCAGCAATGCTGCTTCTGGGCATATATCCAAAGGAACTGAAATCAGGATCTCAAAGAGGTATCTGCATTCCTATGTTCACTGCAGCATTACTCACAATAGCCAAGAAACGGGAAAAGTTAAGGGTCCGTCAGGGGATAAATGGGTAAAGAAGGTGTGAGGCAGAGATAGAGATACACACACACATGAATAGTATTCAGCCGTGAGAAAGAAGGAAACCTTGCCCCTGTGACAGAGAAGGACAAATACCGTATGATCTCACTTATACCTACAACGTCAAACTCAGACACAGAAAACATCTGTTTAACAGATGTAAAATGAAATAACCGACAACTAAGTACGTAGCTTTGGTCACCTTAGTATCATCGTGGCCACCATCACTCAGGTAGGTCTAGAAAACTGTATCAGTACCACCATCCCCAGTTATCAGTAATATCACCCTAGGGTGACAGAAGTCTGGAAAAGTGACCACCCTAAAGCCAAAATTCTATGTAAAAGAATAAGAAATTGCCTCCTAGATACAAACTGAGGGACATGAAAAAACCTGCCTACCAAAAACGGGGGGGCGGAGGGGAATCCTTCTTGGGCTTCCCTGGTGGCACAGTGGTTGAGAGTCTGCCTGCCGATGCAGGGGACACAGGTTCGTGCCCCGGTCCAGGAAGATCCCACATGCTGCGGAGCGGCTGGGCCCATGAGCCGTGGCCGCTGAGCCTGAGCGTCCAGAGCCTGTGCTCCGCAACGGGAGGGGCCAAAAAAGGGGAGAGCCCCGCGTACCACAAAAAAAAAAAAAAAAAATTGCCTCAAAGCCTGTGTGAAGCCTTTTCAAGGTATTGAAACATATATCTCACTGGCCTAACACAGCCCTTGAAATTACCATCAAAACATTTACTTATCAAATATTTACTGAGTTCCTACCAGGTGTAAAACTCTGTGCTACATAGTGTGGCTCTAAAGGTGAAAGATGCCGCTCCAGCTCTCAAGATATGACAGTTTAGTGGAGATACAGAGGACAACACGATAACACGAGGTGCTGGGGGCCTGAGACAGCATCAGAGGAGGAACAGTGCTGACGAGGTGCGAAGGCAAGACAAGCTTCTAGTAAAGACGAAGCTAAGCTAAGAGCTGAAGAATAAGCAGCAATTAGCCCGGCGAAGAGGGCTAAACGTTTCAAGGAAATGCTCTGCAAAAAGCACCTACTGAAATGTACTTGTGTTTCTGGAGAGGCGACATTTACAGCTACAGCACGTCAGTAGCCAGGCCCTGGAACACAGCGCGGGTCCTGCACGGGGGTCTCGCATCCAAATGGCAGAAGAGGACAGAGCAGCCCCCAGCAAACAGCGGCAAGGTGCTCTGGCTCTACAGCACGTCATGGTTTAAGAACCTCCCAACAGAGAATCTCACTTCCAAGAATAATTCCTCAAGGCTCTGAACTAAGAATGGATCCCAAGTAATCTCCAGTAATGAGACATCCAGAGCAGCATGTGACATGGTAACAGAGGACTAGCTGGGACAGAGGCAGCACTTCTGGCTAATACTAAAGCATCTGAGAGGTTCCTATATATACTACTCGAGTACACTGGCTAACTTCTCAGCAATACCTACCTCTACTCACTTTTATCTAATTTTAAAGCAGCATGTTACTCTCCTAATAGTTGCTCCCTACCAATTTTTATGTAAGGGTATTCGCTTTTTACCAAACTGAGACTTTAAAAAAAAAGAAAAGAAAAGAAACAGAAGTCCTTGGACAAACAGAGTTAGAGCTAACTTTTTCCTAAGCTACATGACCCAGTAGGGGGCGCTGTTTTCTTGTTGCTGCTGTTTGATGCCTGTAACAGGCTTCAGCATCACCATCCTTCTTAAGGTCACTTCAGAATACGAGATGTGACCACAAAATCATGTTTGACAATCCCCAAGCATCCCTAGAGTGTGACTCTTTGGAGGATGAACAATACAATAGTGGGGACAGTATAGGAGCATTCTGGGCAACTCCAACATTGATGGAAAGGTCCCTAGAAATTGTACCTGTGCCACCAAGAAACTCCTGTTCTGAGTCAGAACATCATGACCTCTGGAGTTACACACTACTGAATTCTTAAGCCTACCTATTCGATCCAAAGTGATGACTTCAGCTTAGATGCCCACTGAAGTAGAAAAGGCATTTATAAATTTTGAATAATATAATGTATAAATATAATCATTTACATGATAGGGGCATTCTAAGTAAATGACCAGAACAATGGGCCTGTCATTTCATATTCAGCTACTCGCCCCATGAACCACAGGGGTGTACAGCTTCTTGTACTGTCTCTTTTCATGTGGTTTATCATGCTGTGATATATACTAAATTCCCACACAGGGTAAAAAGAAGGGAATATTTGTCTTTAAGAGACAGCCCAGAACTATAAATTCTAAAATAATAACCACAGGAACATTCAGCTTTTATGTGAAATTTGTGTAAAGCATTAAATTATAGTTATCAAAATAAATTTAAGTTACATTGAAGTTCTTAACAAATATTATCACAGACTCGGATTAAAACAAAAGAAATTATGATGGAAGGAATATAAAAAACACAAAGCTAAAACCAGAATACAGCAGTTCAAGGACTCAATAGGACAGAGGGCTGGCATGCTGGCTAGGACTGCAGCACTGCAGGGGGCTCCTACAGAACCCACCTGCCACCACAGACGGGGCTGACCGTCTGGCATCAGTGCTGACACCTACCCTGGATTTTTCTTATCCATTTTTTATGATTACAGACGACCAAGGGCACCTGAGAGTTTTAACAGCACTAAAAGCAAACAAGAGCCAATGATCACATTACTTGGGGTAGGAAGCCTGAGCCTGCTGACTAGGAAGGGCTGGGCTGGCAGACAGCACAGCTCCTTGGCTGAGAGAAGACAGCTGCTCTGGGGGAAGGCTGTAGCTCTGGGGCTGGCTCAGCTGCGCGCTCCCTGCGACCAGGTAGGCACCGCTTTGAGGAGGGCCCGGGTACACCTAGGACAGTCAGAGACAAAACACATTAGGGTCCCTCGGATTTCAACAGGCATGCATTCACTTACAAAAGAGCAACGATTACATCTCTGAAATGGTTTTCTGAGTTCTTCTGGCGACAGGCATTTTATTTTTTTATGTAGATTTTATTTAGCTATTTATTTTTAATTGGGGTACAGTTGCTTTACGACAGGCGTTTTAAAAAGTGCTTTTCAGTGAAGTGGGCTTCTGATGATTTTTGTTTTTAGGGAAACATTAGCTAAACTCGTGTCTGTCTCCGTACAGAAGCAGTAAAGAAACTTACCTTGAAATTTTATACTAATATAATCCCTCTTTCCACGTTGATATTGTATCTCCCTAAAATGAACCCCCAAATGCTGAAGAAGTGTGTTTGAATTCACTGCATTACAGCAACAGTCTGCATTTGTTTCTAGGCATCTACACAGAGATATATCTCCTAAGTTACAGCTTACTGAACATAGAGCAAGCTATCTTCCTAAAGCAAGGTCAGCAGACTTCTTTGTCCAGGGCCCAGACAGTAAATGGGGCAGGCTTTGTGGGCCATGTGCGCTCTGTTGAAACTACTGGGCTCTGCCCATAGAGAAAGCAGCCAGCAACGATGGAGAAACGAATGAGAACAGCTGTGTTCCAGTAAAAATTGATTTTAAAAAAGAGGTGGGAGGCTGGACTTTGCCCTTGGGCCACTGTTTGCGTACCCCTGCACCTAAAAACTATACTTGTTTTAAGCTAAAGAGATTAGTCTTAAGTGCCCCCCGAATCTTAAACACACATAATATTCTAATTTTCTGTAGTATCCATTAGATCCTTCCATTTCACATGTTTGAAAACAGAACTCCACTGTCCAGGGAGTGAGACTTGTAGCAGCTGTTAGGACAGTAACACACTCATCAGGAAACAAAACAACAATCATCTGAAGGCTGTGTTAAGCCACACGAGACTCACTACACACAGAATCCAAAAGGTCTTCATTATGGACGCAGCTAGTCCAGTCCTCACAAATACAACTGTTTGTACTTTGCGAATTGAACGTGAAGGGTTTCTCTTTGTCTGCTGGCTCACACTGGCATCAAGACTCATGGGTAGGTGTCATCCAGCCTCACGTTTCTCAGGCCTGGCTGCTCTTCTCCAGGGTTCTGGCCCCTCACTCCAGAAGTGGACTGCGTCAAAAAAAAATTCATCTGCACAAAGTTTATGCTACCCTACATGGATAAAATGCTGTGTCTGACTAACTACTCCCTATACCCTGAACTGAGTGAGTTTGTGGGAAATGGGCTCTTGATGCTGGGCATGACGAGAGGAAAAAGCGCTCTCTGTTGCATTACACACATTCTCATGTAAAGGAATGGAAAAAATGCAGATTAAAGAAAGTCACTATAAAACTGAAAGTGGTAGATACTCACAAGAATTTAGTAATAATTAGAAATTTTACTCAGACAGACAAAAATTGTAGTTCTTAACTAGATAATTAGATATGAAGCTTTAAAAATATACAGATGTTTGGGCCTCATGCCTGGATTCAATAGGTCTGGGTAGAGTCAAAGTATCTGTTTTTGTTTTTTTTTTTTAAAGCTTGACAGTGACTGACGTGCACCCCTGCAGAAAAATAATTTTTTAGAACAAGAACTATTATTATAGCTAGCATACTACACATTGTATTTGTCAAGTGAAAAAATCTTTTTAACTTTATTTTTACTCCAAACATCACTTTTAGAAAGTTTCACTTTCTACAAAAACACAGCTATTCCAAATAATCTCAGATATATTTGAGAATTTAAAACGAAATACTTGCATTTTTAAAAGCTTACCTGAGAACCAGAAACACCAGATGACTGAATGTAATACTGCTGATTCTGTAATTTTGCATACATGGAATACATTGGATCTTCATTCATTAACTTGGTATACAAGGACAGGGCCTCCATCACTTTAACATTGAGCTCTGAGAGTTCTGAATGTTTTCTGAAATATTATACAATAATGTGACACATAACTGCTATTTAAATGATATAATGTTCTAAATAATAAGATGCATCAAAATAGCAAAAATGGCAAAGAGTGGTGTAAGTAGACGTTATTAAAAATTTAACCTTGTAATGAAAAAAAAAAATCCAAGGCAACCAAAACTGTTTCAGATTTAGGTGCTGTGCTGGAAGGACTCTAGCTTATTGTACTTGACTTTACCTCAGATATCCAGGTTTCCCTCATTAATAACAGATGGGTCATGTGTGGGCCCTGATGATGCCGCTTACAGCAAATATGATTATAATAGTTAACCCTTATTTTTAAAACAGACTAACATAATGAAAGTCAAGTAAATCCTCATTTAAAAGCGGGAGTGGGGGCAGATGGGTCTAATTTTAATTCCCACATCAAGTAGAAAACAAGTGAATGAGAACGGCCATATCTTTAAAATGAAAATAAAATAAAATACAAGGCAGCTCTATTCCAATATGCAGTTTAGAGAGATCTGTGGAGAAGAAGGTACACAGTACAGACGGAGCGCATGTTCTTTTACCTGTCAATATCTTCCAGCTTCTCATCAATGAGAGGCCCCATCTGGTGACACATGGCTAAGATGACAAGATTTAAAGAAATATAAGAAAATGCAGCAAAAGAAAGCAACTCTCTGATGGATATTCATGTAGTTTAAGGAATAAAAGATCTAATTTGGAATAATAAAAATTCTATTAATTAATCTTAGCCCACAGAACCCAAGACTGATTTTCCCAGCTATTTATAAAATCAATACTTTAGATTGATTGTATTGATCTCAGAAATTTTTAATACCAATTTTCATTTTATAACATTTTAAACGTTGAATAAAATATTTAATTTGGGTAGAAAAGTATACGAATTTGAATTCTACCAAAGGTTCAATTAAACTGCATATAAACGTGAGACTGGTCACAGAAGAGTCAGAAATGTTAACATTGTTTATACCATTTTCAATTTTATTTAAATATAAAACCACTCTGTAACAGAACACTAGATTTAATCCTAATTATTCTTTATTTGCAAGGGAAATGGAAAACAAGGTTTACCTTCAAGATGAAGTAACTCGGGAAGATCTGGTTGATCATCACTGGGATCCGTACTTTGCAACATCTGTAGCAGTTGGTCCATTTTATCCTACAGAAATTAAACTGTTACTATAAAAAGTAACAAATCATTATGCAACAATACCTTCTCACTTCATCAGTTAGATAGTGGCTAATCCTGTAATGCACAGATATGAAGACTTCAATTTCGCTTCTATGTATTTACTGTCTGTGTATTCTCTTTACTATCATGTGAAGTCAGAGCCCTTTTGAAACGGCTACCAGAAATTCTTAGATGAGAAAAAATAGAGCAACATTTAAACTTACAACATGTGAGTTCTTTAATCTCTTAAGTCATGCTAGTGGACTTCTGTGTCACTTTGTTTAGGGGCAGCTGTAGTCTTGCCATGCTGACAGGTGTAACCTCTCTCTCAAGCTGGCAGTACGTGTGACTAACAGCTCCGTTACTACTTCTGTACAAGGGAGAATACAGCAGCTGTTTCAGTAAGGCACAGCTCAGCTCTGGTACAGCTGTTCTTCTAAGTAGCACCAGAAGGATTTACTCTACATTCTCTTTCCACCAATGCTTCGCTTTGTCATCAAAAAAAGGAGGAAGATTTATGGCTTCTCTATTCTCCTATGTGAAAGGCTGGAAGGCATCTCAAAGCAATGACTCAGATCTATTTCAGAATCTTTTGCTGTAAGACCAACAGAACTAATGAAGGCATCATTACATAAATACATCTATACATTACATTAGTAGAGATGTATCTGTACGTAAGTTTTAAAAAACCAAAATATATATCTCATGTACCAAAGAATATTACTGTAATAATTACAAACTTTTCTCCATTCATGGTTTTTACATGGTTATGCTACTGAGTATAGTTACTTAGGTAAATAATTTAAAGAGTACCAATTCTAAGCAAAGTAGTTATTTATACCAAAACAAAACTCTATATCTGTACAGAAGGATAACAGCTTGAGAGATGAATTAATCACTAGAGAGTGAAAACGGCACACGTATATTAAAACACTCTTCTGAAGTCAAAAGAATTCCATATTAGAAATGGATATTATTTTTCAACGTAAAAGATTCACAATTTTCATTTTACGTAGTCTAAAAAAGAAGGCACATGTCAGAAAAGTTTGCCTACAGCCAAAAAAAGGAGAGGGCGGTAAAATGAGAGTGAGAGTCAACTAACATGTGGGTAATTTCTCTTCTCTTTGTTTACAGAATTCTACAGCCTATTTGAAATTGTCTACTATCAGAGAAATGAGGTTTCTAGATAGACCGCTAGCATGCATTTTCCGATGGAATGCTATAGCCAAACCTAACTCTCCCTGACTCCAGTACATCCTCTGGGGGCTCTCAGCACAGCTTCTACAACCCGTTTTGCTAAAACAGCGCTCTTCAAACTTTCTGCTTCTGGCTCCTCTAAAAACAGGCTAAAAACCTACAAATCCCCTCACATAGTTTAAAGATGACATCTCGTTTTTCATCATTAGTTTAAAATGTTACAAAGAATATAATTTCCAGAGCATTTAAAAATAAAAGTCACACACGACCTAGAGGGGTGGGACGGGGAGGGTGGGAGAAAGGCTCAAGAGGGAGGGGATATGGGGATATATGTATACGTATAGCTGATTCACTTTGTTATACAGCAGAAACTAACACAACATTGTAAAGCAATTATAATCTGATAAAGATGTAAAAAAAAAAAGTCACACATTCTTTTGAATATACCCAAAAAGTCTCATTATAATAGTGTTTGTAATAGCAAAAAACACACAAAGAACTGAAAACAACCTAACCGTCCAACAACAGAATAATGAAGTCATGATAAGTCCATTCTATGGAATATTAAGCAGGAATTAAAATAATGAGGTACAACTATAAGCACTGACATGGTAAGAATGGGACTAGGGAGGAACTTTCCAGGAGAATCTTTGCTTCGTCTGTATTGTTTGAAGTTGTATAACAACAAAACACATGCATTAATCAAGTACTGAATTTTTTTTAAATAAGAGAAGAAAACCATTGCAACTTCAATAGTGAATTCAGTATGATGCTCTCAGGCAGGAAATCACTCACTTCATCAATGTAGGCTTGTTCCGGCTCTGGTTCTATCGTTTCTACCTGAACATCGTCACTAAATTGTACCGTCTTCTTCTCCGTTTTAACTGTAAAACATGTAACATTTATCATTTCCTTATAAATTTAAAATTTTATTTAAAAGCACTTTAAGGAGAGAACTTGGATTTTTCTTGTATTCCCTTCAATCTGAGAAACTCAGTTTAAGGGATAATTCGGTTGCAGATTTAGGCAACCATGACAGAACATGACATTATGAAATTCTGTGAAGACTTCTTAATTTTTTCTTCTAAAGATTTTATGTTTTCTATAACAGATACTTCACTAAAAATAAGAACTGTATTTCTGGAACAAAGATTAATCACCTATTACATATGAGAGTTTAGTAAACTGCTGAACAGAAAGCAAAGTTTTACAATGGCATAAATGAATTCTGCTATTGAAAATAAATCCTCTTTTCAAATTACCAGTCCTTTCAAAGAAAAATCTCCACTTTTCCACAGGCCCCGCTCTTTCAATGTAATGAATTGGGAAGTTAGCTATATATTCCCCTCACGCCACTCAGTCTTTTTTTTTAAACTAAGGGAATGACACCCAGGCCAGTGGAGAGCTTTACAAGTGGCCTTGGCAGGGATCTGAATTTTCCACTAAATCAGTCTGTATTTTTTAGTTACATTATTCTTGCAACTGAAAAGGTGGTTATTAAGGGATCTGCAAACCAGAAGCACGTATTTCTCTTGCTCGACAAAGCAATCTTTAAAAAGATTCAATGTAACACTAACCAGCAAATATAAGGTTATGATTAACATAGTAATTAATCTTATCCAAAGTAATACTGAGAAACACATACAGCTTTAAAGGAATGAACTTCCTTTTCGGATTCTTTCATCCTGATATCAATGTAGTCAATCAGTATTCATAAAAATTAAGAATCAGGGGGATGGGAAAGGGGCAGAATTAAGGAAGGGAAATAATATTAATTAAACTATTAAATATGCTTAATGGAATACTGCATTTCCCCCAATGAATCTCCAATACAATCCTATGAGATATGCCCATCTTGTAAATGAGGTTAGCAGTGGCTTAGAAAGATTAAGAATGCTTGCGTAGGAGAAAGCTAATAAATGGCAAAGCCTGGATTTGAACGCCAATCATTCTAGCTCTATTAGCCCACACTACTGGAATCTGGCCTGTGATTTTACTCCGAGAACAAGAAGTCATATCACTTATGTATTCTATGCTATAGAATATAAATGGAAAATAGGTTAATTTCCAATATAAGGAATACAGTCATCCCACACAAGTCACCATAAAGTAAAACTCTACATACAAAACCAGTTTCAGCTGATTTCACTTTCCCATGGAAGAAAAAGAACCATATGCTATACATATTTTTGCTTTCATATCTTGAGCTATTAACAAGTAGAAAGCTGGGACAGCACTGCATTGGCTGCTACCCATAAGAAAACACATGGTAGACTTCACATCCTAACAGCTGACCATGCACAAGTTTGCAGTACTTTTTCTCTCAGGGGCTAATACTATTACTTTGTATGTATGTGTATGTTTGTGTGTATATTATGTGTATGTGTGTATAAATAATATTTTACACACACACACAGATGTGTTTATGCATATACATACATAAAATACAGTGCTTGCACAAAATCTTACTGCCTCTCCAAAACGAAAACAAGCTAAGTAGGTCAGGCACTTCTAATTGACACATTCAGTGAAATGGGCTTCTGTTTGCTCATAAAGAACGATGCTACAAGGATCTTGCTAACACTCATTTTCCAAGCCTGAGAACTGTAACTCCACTGTACAAGCTCTGATGCTCTGGTTTCTCTTTTACATGGTCCAGAGTGAACACATGAAAATAACTAGAATATTCATTTTAAGGCTACATTTCTATATAATGGGAAAAAAAAGATGAGACGGCTACTTTATCTACCTGAGGTCTTGGATCTCCTCTTGAATGGAGACAAGACAATTCCATCCTTTCCAACAGCTATTCTAAGATTAAAAAAAAAAAACAAACCCAAACCCAAAAATCAAGCAAAAATCCCCCACCACCATCAGCCCAGATTAAAAAGTTAGCACGTTATGCACTGCCATCTAAACAAGGTTCCACAGGACGTTTTCTGAGTTTACCAAAGAGAACTTTATTAAAGGAATGGGTATCACAATCTGTCTCTATAAAAGTGACACAAGACATCCCAACAATAACTAGGAGAGGGCATTACTTTATCAAAGATCTGTAACATCTGGTCTGTTATTAAAGCCTTCTCTTGAAAGAGAAGCATTTTTATGTTTTCAAAGAAAAGTGTATCTTTACTGTTAATACACAGACACTTGCGCTTCATTTATTGTATAAACATTTATATAGTCTGTATTCTGGATAAGATTCAGTACCAAGAACTGTTGGAAATAAAAAGACAACTGAGACAAAGATCTTTTCTTAAAATTCCTGTAAACTACAAATGACCAAAGCAGATCGTGAGTTATAACTTTCTTTGATCTCTTCTACCTGGCATTATAGAAAGATGAGATATTTTGCCAAGATAACTGTAGCTTACTAACTTACTTACAAAAAAACTCTTAAAATTCTAACCATTTCAGTCGCTACAGAAATCTTTCTAGATTAGAACATATTTCTGTTTCCTTAAAAAGAGGAAGGTTGTGACTTAATCTTGATGCCACAAAATCATCATTATGAAGATTCATTACAGTATTGCCTAGAAATACAGTGAACTGCCTACCAACATTTCGATAGACTACTGGCAGTTACATGTCCTGCAATGATTACGCCTGCCAGTAATATCACTTTTCCTCCTTCGCCCCACTTTCTAGTCTGTTTCTCCTGGTCAGCAAAGGTTTGAAACTCAAAAAGTTATTGACATGATTCGTTATGGCTCCTTCTGAATATCTGACATGGTGGCTTAGGAAAGCTATTAAGTTGCTAAGAGGCCACTGCTTCCAAATTTGGGGCTGGACACTAGAGAAATGAGCTAACCTTTGAATAGGAAGAACTCTCTATAAGGTTACACTGCATTTGTCACCCTTTCATCAACTGATGATACCAAAAATACATAAAGCATAAATTCTATAACACTTCTTAATCTGCATTTTTACAATGACATATGTATACATACATACATATATATGTGTGTGTATATATACATATATATTTTTTTTTCCTTAAAGAAAAGTCCATAGTCTGTCTTAAGTTAATCTTGGTAGACAGATGATTTCAATTCTTAGATGATTAGATGACTCCTCATAAATAATCTGACTGGGGAGCTGCATTTTTAATAAACACCTTGGAGGCACTAACTTTGGAGAGTCTCTGCTCCAGAAAGCTGAATTTTAGAGAGAATTGTGGATCATCATCCATTGACAGGCTGGAAAATACTTACTCATTTCTGGTTCAGCAGTGAGATCCGCAGTCACAAAATTAGAGGGGAATAACCCCATGCCTTGATGAGTTTCACCCTTCCACCAGTTGGGGTCACTAAGAGAAACAAGAAAGAATGCTTTACTATAACAAAGAACTTTTATTTCTATGTATCTTTACCTTTTATAGTGTTTAACCTATATTATTACCAGATCTGAAGCTCACAACAATCCAGTGGAGGAAGTGAATGTATCATTATTACAAATTAGAGATGAGGCCTCAGAGAAGATAAGATGCTATTAAACACACAGTTCTTTCTCATATTCTGGAAGGCTGGCGAACGCTTCGAGGATCTAGTACAAGGCTCTGAACTCTCTCCCTCAAACAGAGGTCCCCACACTTGAAAACTGTCAACTTCGAATGGTTCATAGGCTCCCGCGTGAGAATCCTTTATAATAAGATAGACGGTAGGCTCTGAATCCAGACCTCCATTCCTAATCAGTGCTCTTTCTAGCACACATTAGGAAACTTTCCCCCCCACAAGAGAACACACATGACAGTAACACCATTTACAGCACAAAATGTTCACAAGGAACACACTCCCGGGTGCGTACCCACGCTAACCACTGGATCCCCAGCACCTAGGATAAGGAAAGCTAGCAAGTGCTCAATAAATACTTTTTGAATGAATGAATGATCAAGGTTTTGTGCAACTTCCAGCTAACCAGCTCAAACTTTACTTCATTTTCTTCCATTCAAGAAAACATATTAGTATGTAAGTGTGATACTATAAGAATAATCTTAAATGTATTTGAATTGATCTTTAAAAACCACATGCAGGGACTTCCCTGGTGGCACAGTGGATAAGACTCCATGCTCCCAATGCAGGGGGCCCAGGTTCAATCCCTGGTCAGGGAACTAGATTCCACACGCATGCCACAACCAAGAGTTCACACACCACAACTAAGGAGCCCATGTGCCGCAACTAAGAAGGCCTGGAGCCACAACTAAGGAGCCCACCTGCCACAACTAAGGAGCCCGCGTGCTGCAACTAAGACCCGGTGCGACCAAATAAATACATAAATATTAAAACGAAACAAACAAAAATACCTAATGCATTTATCCGACCTCAAAAACAAAGATTTAGGCTTCCCTGGTGGTGCAGTGGTTAAGAATCCGCCTGCCAAGGCAGGAGAGACAGGTTCGAGCCCTGGTCTGGGAAGATCCCACATGCTGCACAGCAACTAAGCCTGTGCACCACAAGTACTGAGCCCGCGCGCTAGAGCCCATGAGACACAGCTACTGAGCCCGCGTGCCACAATCACTGAAGCCTGTGCACCTAGAGCTCATGCTCCGCAACAAGAGAAGCCACGGCAATGAGAAGCCCGCGCACCGCAATGAAGAGCAGCCCCCGCTTGCCACAACTAGAGAAAGCCCGCATGCAGCAACAAAGACCCAATGCAGCCAAAAATAAAAATAAACAAAATAAATAAAAATTTATTTAAAAAAAAACTGCCAGGTCAGCTCTCCCTTTAAAAAAAATAAAGACTTAAAAAAAAAACACTTGCAAATTTTAGCACTTCATTATGAGTAATAATCATCAGTAACAACTAATTTTCAAGTAAACATAAAGCTGCAGTAAAAAAACAGATGCACTGTATCACCTCCCCTATGATATAACGTATATACCACCATGTAAAATGAATTTGTTCCACACTGATATACTATTCTGTGCAAATAAATTAATTCAATATATCTTGTATTTCTTATAAATTCCATATATATACATATATATATATTTGGTGTATTTTCTAAAATCTTAACCTATTTTTTTTTTTACTAATTTAACAATCTATATTATAAGATGGAACCAAAAATGAATAGAGTAAACTAGGCCTCCAAGACATATAAAACCCATTTAAATGATAGACGAGGAAAACTTAAGCTACAAAATACGAATCCAGACAGTATGACACAAGCAAAGCAACCGACCATCCTACAGAAAAACTACCTGCGTCAGTATTTGATTTTATTACGTTTGATAAGGCACTCAGCAAGAATAATATGAAACACAGAATATGTTATATATTTTCACATGAATGTTCAACTTAATAGTAACCATCACCTGTCATCAAGAACTGTAATAATTTCTCCAGCTTTAAAAGTAAGTTCGTTATCTTCAGCAGCTTCAAAGTCGTATATAGCACGAACTTTTCGGCCTTCGTGTTGGTGGTTAGTTAAGAGATTAGATGTGCTTGGATACAAACTGGAAAGGGTGGTTGACTGCTGCCTTTGTTCCTTCAGCGACAACTCAATGGCTGGAAAATAATGGGATTAAAAAGACCCCAAATGTTAATATACCCAGCAATCCTAAGAAGTACAAAAAGATATCTGAAGGTAAAAAGTATTCTTCTTCTAATAATGTAGAGGGAAACTACGACATATCCTGATATAATATATTGAACAAAAATAATGTCATCAATTTTATTCATTCATTCACACTGAGAGCTTAAAAAATAAATAAACTAAAAAAAAAAACTGAACAGCATGATGACTATTTTTACTGAACAGGTACAATTTTAAATATTCTGGGTAATAAAAAGACATAAGCTCAAATCAATTTTGTTTAATTTAGCTGCAGATATTTTATATTTTCTTTCATCTTTTCAATGTATTTCTGTAGCTTAAGTTTACCAAATAATAGTCAAAATCACTTGGGAAGTCCAAAGTCCCAAGCTTGAGTCCTTCACTGGAGACTTACTAAATAGGAGTCTCAAAGGAAGTATCTGAGAACCTACATTTTATTGTTCCAAAGGGCATTCTTAGGTAATTAGTCTAAGAACTGGAATTTGGAAATAACTACAGTAAAGTCTCACCTAACAAATCCCCCAAAATAGATTTCAAACGTGTCTGCTCTATCTCCTCCCCTAATACAGGCCATCACCATGTGTCACACAGGCTCTGTAACATAATCTTAATGAATTGACTACCCTGCTTTCAGTGTAACACATAACCCTGTCTTCCCTTCCATCTCTGTTCTAGATGAATAAAAGACCAGATGGGAAAACAAAACTTTAAAATTATCATAGAAAAATATCTTTCAGGATCCTGGGGGAGAGGAAAATATCTTAAGACATTAAAAAAAAAACCCAAAATCATAAAAGAAAAGGAAAAATTTTGACTACATGAAAATTTAAAACTTGTTTAATAAAACATGCCATTATCAAAGTTTAAATTGTAAGCCAAAACCCAAGAGTAGATATCTATAACAGATATAACAGGCAAAAGATTAATATCCAAAATAAAGATGTTCTATACATCATTATTAGAAAAAAAAAATAGAAAGAGAGACAATCAGAACAGCTAATAAATGTTCAAAAAAGGACTGAACCTCACTAGCAATCAAGAAAATAAAAATTAAAAACAATTAGGTATCATTTCAAACTCATCAGATTCACAAAAATTAAACTCTGACAATAGCAAATGTCATGAGTCTAAAAAGAATAAGTGAATAATAAAAGCCTTCATACACTGCTGATGGAAAAGGAAATACTATAACTATTTAGCAAAGTTAAAGATGTACCTACTCCATAAGCCAACAATACCACAAAACAAAATCTCTCTCTCTCTCACACACACACACACACAAGAGAAGGTGGACAAGGATACTCAGTGCAGCTTACTTGTTATAGTAAAAAAAAAATCAGAAAACCCAGCTGTCCATCAGTAGGAGGATGAATTACAGCAGATATCTGTTAGTTCACTGGAATATTACGTAGCAGTTAAAACAGATGAACTTGATATACATGTCTCGTTATGAACAGATCTCAAACATACTGTTGCATGAAAAAAACAAGTTGTAGATGATACCTAGAGTACACTATTTATGAAAAAGAATTTGTTGGACACAAAAAAGTATTTGCTATTGTTTATGGACACATAGATAGTGTAGTAAAAACATTATAGAAACATAGACTGAACGGACATACATGATAGCAGTTGCCTCGGAAGAGGAGAGGAAAAAAGTGACACTGAAGAGAGGAACAAAGGAGAACAAGTAGATTTCAACTTTAGCTGTGAACTCCTATTTTTTATTTTTAAATATCTTGGGGGAAAATAAACATCAAGTAAGAGACCTATCTTCTTTCCATGATCAGGGACTTAAAAATGTACCTTTCGCTAAATCTTCTTCTTCTTTTTTGTTAGCCACAGTACCAGGATCCTTGGCTACCAGAGCTGGGCTTGCTTTTGCTTGTTCTGCAGCCTAACACACAAAAAAGGAAAATGATATTTGAAAGTTATTCTCAAATTTTCCTACCCCCAACTAATCTAAGAACTCACAAGACCCTTCCCATCAATCCACCACAGACTTCTGAACAAGAAAGAAATCTGAACCTGAGCAGCCTCCTCTTTGAAAGGAGCCAGAGAACAGGTAGAACTGGAGAAAACAGACTGAGAGAGTTTGTTTTCTTAGGGTTAACAGCCTAGCCACACTCTCCCAGGTTTGTGTGAAGAGGTTAAACTAGAAGCAGACACTATGCAAACCAGAGAAGACAGACTAGAGGAGATTTCAACAAAAAGGGGTTGAGAGTGGGAAGGAGGTGACTACTTTAAAAACAAGCAGTTTAAAATTTTTTAAAATATCTATTCAAGAGTTTTACTGTTTCCTTCCAGATCAAAAGTCAGGATGTTATCTTTAGGAATCCAGATTGATATTCAGTAATACAAATGCTCATAAAATTATACTATTTTCGGGCTTCCCTGGTGGCGCAGTGGTTGAGAGTCCGCCTGCCGATGTAGGGGACGCGGGTTCGTGCCCCGGTCCGGGAATGATCCCACATGCCGCGGAGCGGCTGGGCCCGTGAGCCATGGCTGCTGAGCCTGCACGTCTGGAGCCTGTGCTCCGCAATGGGAGAGGCCACAACAGTGAGAGGCCCACGTACCGCAAAAAAAAAAAAAAAAATTATACTATTTTCTAAATCAAAATACTAGCAGTTAATTTTGACAATATATTACTGTCCCTCTTAAACATATTTTGTATATAAGGTAGTGTACAAGTAAATAAATACATACATTGATTCACACTTACAGAATTACAAGCTTCTAAAGTCTTAATGGCTGCTGAGTTTTTGTGTGGCCATCGAGGCCAATGAGACTCCAGCCTCATTTTTCAACCATTCTATCAGTTACCAGAAACTGTTGGCGTGCGCGCGCACACACACACACACACACACACACGCTGTGACACACGTTTGCTTCTACCCATGACGTCCTCCCCTCTGGCTCACTGTACTCCATCCACATTGTTTCCTAGTGAGATTCAATCCACCAGTCAGTGAACAGCTGAAAATCACTTTCTCAGTGAAACGTTCCTAAACCCTCTCATTAAGCCTTCCCTCCTCTGTGCCCCTCTGGTAACACTTTTAAACAAGGTATTATATGATTCGGGTAGTTAAGGACAGTTAAGGACGCAGGCTGGGGAATCAGGCTAATGGGGAGTCAGGCTAATGCGGTTCAAACCCCAGATGCACCACCTTCTAACACATGAACCCTGAGCGCCTAAAAGCCTCCTTTGGCCTCAAGTTCCTCATCTACGAAATGAGGACAATGGCCCACACACCACGGGCTGTCATGAGGATTAAATCAGCACACGTAGCTTCCAGAGTCAGATGCAATGAAGGCCATTCAGGGTTTAAATCACAAGTATATAACGTCGTCTCCTGGGCTTAAAATGTATGCAGAGGTGATACATGCCATACATGTGATAACTACAGCACAAAGGGTGCTGAAGTAGGGAGTAAATAAACTCTCTACAGTTGCAAGGTTTCTACATTTTACATGAAATAATTCGCTATTAACTCAAAATAGACTGTGACAAGTTACAAATGTATACTGTAATTCCCAAAGCCATCAATTAAGAAAAGTGAAATTCTAAAAAATATTCAAATTACCAAATGCATAGCACTTAGATCACTGCCCAGTACATAGTAACAGGCAATAAATCTCAGCTCCTATTATAATTCTCTGCTTACATGTCTGTCTCCATAACCAGGCTGCATGTTCCTTGAGGGTATATGGGGCTAAATATTACAAGAGCTCATAAATGATTGTTGAGTAAATGAAAGGCAAAATATTCATCATTATAGTAAATACCGTGCAATAGTCTTCACTTAATATATTTATAATGTCAAACAAATACACAAGGCATTTATTTTTAGAAAAGCTGATTAGAAGAGAGCTTTTGTATTCAGTGAATAGAACTTCAAGCACTCTCAATCTGACCCGCCTCTAGTTGTGATCTTCCTTAAATGAAAATGTTTTAATCATCATACACTTCTGAAAATTGAACGTATGCTTCACCAGAGGCAACCTTTATTGTTATATATGAATTTTTTTTCACAATTTGTGAACTTCACAAAATAGACATATTGATCTTTTGTGGTCTGAGAAGGGATCTCTACTGGTCAAGTAGGAAGTGCAGAAACAAGCTATATTAAGCCCTACATTCCTGAACTGCTCTCTTTTCAAAGTTCCTTTCTATCATCAGGTTCCCAGTATAGCAACGCTACTTGTCTGATTAACCAGTCAAACACAGTAGCAGTGCCAGCATCACTTCAACCTCAGTGTCCAAAGTCAGTGCTAAGAGAACCACAGCAGCAAGAGTTAGGTGACTCAAGTATCACTTTTCTTAATATTTTTATATTATTTTCTTCTGTACTTGGATGAAAAAATATACTTTAAAAAATTCTCTTGTTTCCAGAACCTTTTTTAAAAATATGCTAACAAAGGTCTAGTCTGATTAAAATGTAGTAACAGCTTAAGCAACTAAGTGACTGTAAGATTTGGAGGGACTTCTGCAGTTGATCCCAGATGATAGATTGTTTTTTAATTAAACATGAAGCTCTTTACAAACATGGTTTTCAACGAAAACCTCTTCAGAAACTACTATTAAAAAAATCACCATTCTACCTCATCATAGGTTACTTTATACGCATTTTACATATTTCTTGTGGCTGAAAGACAGCAACTATAACAAAATGAGCTTTCACATATTTTATAAGATCTAGATGCAAAAAAGAAAAGTAACTCTTAACTTTACTATTGCTGATCTACACCCTGAATCTTTTGAACAGGAGAGTAGTCTCACATCTACACCAATTAGTACGTAAACGCTCTTGCCAGTGTTCACTCCACTTCTTGTCCTTCGAAGCCTAGTCCGGACAGACACATATCTACTAACCTCAATATCAAACGGAAGGCAGGATCGTGTAGTGGAAGGAACACTGGACTGAGAGTCAGGAGGCCTGTGTCCTAGTTCCAGCTCTGTCAACTACTAGCTGTGGCCCTGGGCAAGTCACTTAACCATTCTGGGTCTCAGTATCCTCATCTGTAAAATGAGGGGATTAGATTAGAGGATCACTAGAGCTGTTCCCACAACTATCTGAGATTCTAGGCTAACCAAACAAAGCTACGTATCAAATGGATCAGTAACTCTTCTTCCTTCTCTTACAGGGACTGAAATGCAGTTTTGTTCCTTTGTGGACTGAAATGCAGTTTTCACCTGCACTGAAAGCTGTCCTCAAGAGTCGTGCTGCTCAAAACAGAGTCATCGGGGGGCTTGTTAAAATGGACACAATGAATCCACTGCTATGGAGGCACATTTCCACCCGTGAATGAGATGTTACAGTTCTCACAAGCTTCCAGGTGGTGATGATGATGGCCAACCAACCACACTGTAAGTCACAAGCTCTGGAACAGGTTCTCAGAATACAGAACCTGCCATTCCACTAAGCAACTACACTCTTTGGTTCTCCATAGTGAGTCTACTCTTCGATAATTAAACATTGCTTCTATTGTCAAGGATATCTTATTATAAGATATCTTGGATTATTCTGCATAAAATTATTCCTTAATTATACAGATTCAGAAATTATTCTGAGGTAGTAAAAATGAGCTATCAATTATGAATGACTACTTCTCAAAGATGTAATTTATCATTGTAAAACTATTCATAAGCCAAATTTTTTCAAATAAGAAGAAAAATATCCTCTCTTCCTTTATCTCCAAAATATATTTCTAGGTTTTCACATCTCAAGAGTACCTACATAAATTACAAGTGCCTTGGGAAGAAAGTCTAGATAAGTCTGGATGAACCACTTCAGAATTCCCTTGAAATGGTCAAAACCCTGAATGGGAGCCCTCTACAACTAAGAGTTTTCTGCTCATGCTTTCACATCACTCATTATATTCTACCCCAAGCCATACAGTGGGGAAAGACAGTGCAGTAAGTTACCACACACTTTAAGCCTACTTAGTTAGCTGGGCATCCTAAAGGATGGTTACCGGAATAGAAAAGGAATAAAAGAGATAATCTTCCTTTTTTTCTCCTATGTGACGTAAATTAGAGATTGAGCTCATTACATAAATAATTTTTTTTTTAAGGCAAGTTAAGTCTTTCAGTCAATCATATTTATTAGGAAAAAGAAAGAAGACACGTACGTGCTGGTCAGCTCTTAAGGGGAATTTTTCTTCCCAATGACCCCCTTTTATCTCCCTACCATTTTTAAATACAGGTGCTCATAAATTTCATAATCCAAAGAACCTCTAAACACATCCTTAAATTTTAAGGAAACCTGATTTTTGAGCTGTCATTCTTTGTAGATAAAATTACAGCACGAAGAGCATTTAACAAGAATGTCAGTATTACCTAATAAAGCAATTTTGTCTGTATTATTAAAATTATATTAAAATTTTTTTAATTGCAAAAATTAAATGAATTCATTAATAAAGAAGGAGAAACAGTGGGGAAATAGAAGTTGGAACACATTAACATTCCACTATATTTTTCTGGCAACTTTATATGCAAGATTATTATTATTAACAAAAATTCCTCTGGAGTATTAAAAACTACCTGGGTTTGGAGGAAAAAAAGAAAAACTCAAATAAACATAGCTACTTTAGAGAAACGAACTGTAGCACACACACAAATTTATATAAAATACCTGAGAGCCAATAGCTGGAAACGTAACACCTTGTTCCTTAAGGTTCTTAATCATTGCTGATATTAGACTAAGTTGTGGATCATTCTTAAACTCATCCGTCCATTCAACCATAAGAGCCTTTAATTTTTCACACACTTTAGGATGACCCTTAAAAATAGAGAAAAAAAATTAATAAAAAAGCACTAATTTCCTGGCAAATGATTTAATACAGATACCGTAAATATAAAACTTATAAAGTGTTGCAGATCTCTTTTTAAATCATAAATTATCCCTAGCTATAGATGACACATAAGAAAATACAGATAGTTACTAGAAATAAACTAGTTTTATTTCCACACTATGAAAAAAAATAGATGATACCATCACATACCTCATAACATATTAAGACATTAGATATATAGTAACTTATTCTGGAGGTCAGAAAGACAGGACTTTTCAGAGTATTTTGCAACTAAGCAAGTGTTGTCTATGAGGAAGACATAGAAAAGTTTGTTTTCTTTTTTGCAGACCAATGAAAAATAAGTTGGAAAGAGAGAATAAATAGTACAATTCCTTTATTCCTAATTCCTGACTTTTAATGTGCATGGCTGTGTTTTTACCCAGTTACTTAATTATCTGAGGCCTGGCATGAGGTCTACTATATGCCGATATTCCTGGAAACTTCATTTCTTCAAAATAACATTTCCCCCTTAAGTATAAAATCAATATGTTCACTGTAAAATATTTGAAAAATAAAGAGTTCTTTCTCCTATACGCAACTGTTTGCTTTTTAAAGTTGTTCACGTTACTAAATACTGAGTACAAATTTTCAATTAAGGAAAATATTACATTAGAATCTCTTCATAAACCGTTGTACATTTTGATGGACATTCAGGACATCAAAAGAATGGTAAATAATTAGCACAAAATACCTAAATATAACTGAATAACTGAATAAAGCAGAACAGGAAAAAATTATCACATAACCATGTTCTAAAAGTAGTACAGAATTTTAAATTCTTATTTATGTACTATTTCCTACTAAAATCTGGAAATACTCATTTTTTCCAAAAAAACAGAAACAATTTCCCTTTTAACACTTAAAACATTTTTATATATAATTATCCCCCCCAAAAAGGCCAGAAATAATTACCTTTAGAATGCATGAATTTTTACTGAGAAAACTCACATATTACTCAGTAAATTAAATTTTTTAAATTCCTTAAATTGCTGGATTTGAATTTTTAACTCTACATTCAGTTAAGTAGATGACCTCTGTGACTAAAAAAAAAAAATGGTTATAAAAACTGTGCCTAAAGTAAACTGGTACCTCTTACTCAGAGAAAGACACATATTTTTCATCAGAAGAAAGGAATGGTGAAGAAAAGAGGTTAAATATATTCTAATTTGGCTTGACCAAAACCAAATCTCCAAGTTATATAAATGTGTAGTCTCTTCAGCAAAACCTAACACGGACTTACACATGGGATAGACATAGCCTAGAAAGAGACTTACACATGGGATAGACATAGCCTAGAAAGAGACTTACACATGGGATAGACATAGCCTAGAAAGAGACTTACACATGGGATACACATAGCCTAGAAAGAGACTTACACATGGGATACACATAGCCTAGAAAGGGTTAAAAAAAAAAAAAAAAGCACAGACTAGTCCTTTGGGATTTAAAATGTGAAGAACTGAACAATAAAATATATGAAGAAAGAAGACAGTGCTAATTCATTTCTAGAAATAATGTGCCTTACCTTGTTTAATACGTTGCTTACTTCACTAGCAAAATCTCTTGAACATACTTCTAAGTGAAAAATTTTGCCACAATTCGATACACACGCTCCTAGAAGCTAAAAGTATAAAATAGGGAGTTAAAAGGGCTCAATTTCGGTAGACAATTTTGCGGTAGATCTTGAAATGAAACCACTCACAGTCAGAGCCTGCATAGCAACATGAGGATCTTTATGGTTCACCCTCCTCATAATAGACCGAAGACAATCTTTAGGTCTAAAAAATAAGAAATGTAACAATTAGTAGTACATTCTACTTTTTTCCCCCTTAACTATAAAAGGCAATAGACTATGATACAAAAGGGAGAATATGGTAGAGAAGTTTAATTCTTACTAATGACACAATTGAAAAACTGTACACTAAAAAGTTCCTTTAAATTTTTCAAACAAAATTAACAGGCTCTCTTCCTTAACGATCATAGATAAGGCATTCTGGGCTAATTCTAGATGGAAAGTTTTGAAAATAAAATGACAGACCAAGACTTCCACTTCCAGTCACGATGGAATAACTGGAACCAGACTTACACTCCTGTTGTAAGTAATTAGAAAACTGGAAAAATATATTTAAAATACATTTGGGACATCAGGCCACAGGTAGCGCTGAATGATGATCTCTAAGAAAGAACACAAATGAGATAAACAGACATCTGCCTCAACTTTCTACCCAGGGGCACTTTCCAGGTAGCGAAATAGGCTTTCTGTCTAAAGGCAGTTTCTGGGTCTCAGCACAGAGAAGCTGATCCCAGGAAGATGGTGGTGATCTTACTGAACTGAGGGGACAGAAATCAGAATTCCGGCAGGCTGTGGGAGCTAGAATTTGCAGGACAGAGTAGAGGAGCTATATGAAGAAAGAGTGCTAGATACCTGCATGGGGTCCACTGAGGTCTGCTGCCCACCAGGCTGGACAAAAAGTGACTGAGAGCTCTACTTTGAAGGGTTCCCAAAACTCACACAGCTGTCAGAGCTCATACCAAAGTGGACAGTCCTTGCAGCAGAGCGTTTAGGCCTTGGTGATGGGGCTACACCATCCCAAAAGACTATCCTAAATCCATCCAACAACAGCTTAAAAAACAAGCCACAGAAGAATAAAATTGATCCAGGCCTAACCTCTAACAGAATCAAGTCCAATATTCTTTAACAGAAATATGACAAAACCTGGCATTCAACAATATAAAATTCATAATACTAAGCATTCAATCAAAAGTTACCAGATGTGACGAAGCAGGAAGAAGTGACACTTAACTAGGAGAAAACTCAGTCAAATGAAAATGTGGAAATTATATACGCTATTTTAAGTATGATCAAGGATGTACAAGGAATCATCAACATAGCAAAGGAAAGAAGTGGTATACAAAAAAGAACCCAATAAAACTTCCAGAGAAGAAAAATATATAAAATGAACTAATTAACTAATTGGATGAAATTAACCTGATAGAAACGGAAGGACGTATCTAATAAGGGATTAATATCCAGAATATATAAAGGGGTCCTACCTCTCAACAACAAAAAAATGATAATCCAATTCAAAAATGGGCAAAAGACTCAAAACAGACATTTCTCCAAAGATACATAAATGGCCAGAAAGCACATGAAAAACCGCTCAGCATCATTAGGGAGCTGCACATGAAATCACAGTGAGACACGATTTCACATTAAAAAGGAAGAGGCAACCAGCCGGGGATGTGGGGAAATGGGAACCCTTACGCACAGCGGTGCCCACGGCGATGCGAAACGAAACAACGTAGCGACTGTGGACAAGTTGGACAGCTTCTCACAAAGTCAGACATAAAACTGCCCTGTGACACAGGAACTCCACCACTATGTGCTGAATATGCACATAAAAGAACTGAAAGCAGGGATTGAAGCAGACATCTGTACATCCATGCTCAGAGCAGCATTATTCACAACAGCCAAATCTCCACCAACAGACAAACAGATTAACAAAATACAATGGAATACTATTCAGCCTAAAAGAACGAAATTCTGACACATGCTACATGGGTGGACCTTGAAGACATACTTAATGAAATAAGCCAGACACAAAAGGAGAAATATTATACGGTTCCACTTATACGTGGTACTCAAAACAGGCGAATTCATGGAGATACAAGTAGAATAGAAGTCACCAGTGGCTAAGAGAAGGGGGAAATGGACAGTTACTATTTAACTGCAGACATACAGAGCTTCCACTTGGGATGGAAGTTTAGGAAATGGACAGTTGGACACACACATACAAAAGAAAAAACAGTATCAAGTGATCTGAACAACACTGAGCCCTGGGAAAATTGGCCAGTAAGAATAATTGTCCTAAAACGTTTCTTTAAGAATTGAAAATGCAATTACTAATGATAAACAGGAAAAAAGTCATTTTTAATAGGGAGATATTAGAATAAAAAAAAAATTTCTGTTTCTAAGGCTGTTTCACTGCTTGTTGGGAAGCTTTCCACCTAAAGAGCATGGAAAAAAGAGGGGGAAAAATTGTATTTATGGGATACCTATTATATGTCAAGCATTCAACTCATGATTCTGCAGCTCTTATTCTACTGATTTTGTATTAAAAGTGTCTAAAAGCATCGTCATTAGACTGAAGAAATAATATAACATTATTTAGATTCTGCCTTTTTTACAGTTGGACTTATTTTAGGAGCCAGAATCTGTGACCTCATGCTAATTTTTGCAGTTGTGAAAAGCATGTTGACAAATACAAAATTATCATTTCAAAGCACTGGCAGAGGCCAAAGTATCTAAATACCAAAATTCAAATCATTTAAAAATAATGATCCAAAGATGATTCAGCTCAGTGAATAAAACATTTTAGAAAATAATCCTCAATACTTGCTTTACCACCAAATTTTAAATGAAATTTCTGACGTCTTGTTCATAAACCACACTTTTTAAAGAAAGAAATCTAAACTGTGGTGACTTTTGGAAAAGAGGATGGAGAACGGGGCTTTGAAATGGAACTTTTTACTTTTTATTTCACTAATTTCTATACTGTTGAAATGTTTAACCACAGCCAATTTTAAAAACCAAGGCAAGGACATGTCCGGAACCAAAGCAAAGTTGGCTATTGCGTCCATAAAAAGGATAATGCCCAAAAAAGCCAACTAGAATGTTTATAAGTCCTGACAAACACTTTATGTATGCCAACAAAGCAATATCTTTTTAGGTATAATAAGCTAAAAAAAAAAAAATCCCTTCAGAACTGTGTATAAAACTGGCGCTATTAAACAACAGAAGTGACCCACAAAAATCTAGTATTTAACGACCTCATTCTGCTCCATGTTTTTTTTCAATTCAGCTTTTCAGTATTTCCACAAAACGATAAGTAAAATACAGAAGTGAAAGTATATTTATATACATTTCATTATAAATCTTACAATTCAACAAAAAATTATAGCTAAAATATTCTTTTTAAAAAGGCGTAAGAGTTATAATTTAAAGTAGGTGTCCTATGGCTATTATCCTCTCAATGACAAATGAAAATGGACTACAAATATAGTGTCTGTATGATTGATCACCTATGCGAGTGCCCCTTTGAGAGTGAAAGCGGGTGCTAACCAGGCGTAATACAAGAACAGCAGGCATAGGGTGAAACTATCCAAGGGAAATTGGAAGCATGGTCAGCCCAGCCAAAACTATGTTCATCCAAACATTATCTTTTTATGCATAGATCTCGGACACGTAGTTAATACAAGAGAAAAAAAGGCAGTACTTCCATCTAGTTGTGGCTTCTACTGTCTTTTCCTTGAATCCTAGACCAGACAAGAAAACAGGCTTTTCATGAATGGACACAGCTGCCTCGGCATATGTCAGCTCTGATGAACTAAAGCATCAAAGTCCGTTTCATTATTCACAACATTACTCCAGGCCACCTCAATACACTGTACTGTGGGCTTCCACGAAAAGAAAGCTTTTGGAGGGGGCTCTTCTCCACTAGATCCTCTCACTCCAGCTTCCCTCTCTCCACACCACTCTCCATCTTTCAGGTTCTACGTCTTCAACATGGCCGATGCTCAAGAAGTCATTGAACTAAATGGGAAAGACACGAATTTTCACTGTTGTACAATAATTAGTATTTAGAATAACTGAATAATCATCATTATAAAGCTCTATTTGTTACCAACTTCTGCATCTTCCACTGAGCTTGCTTTCTATGTGGAAAATGTACATGCACTCGCAAAATCTATTTCTGAAAAATTACGTGATGAGGGGAAAATGCATAGTAAGTAGTGCTGGGAGGAGCACAGGATGTGAGGAAAGGGACTGTTGATACATACTAATGAAGCATTTTGTAAAATTACCTGCTAAGATAAAATCTGCATGTGCATTTAGAGGAGTCTACCAACAGTTTCCACCACCAACCTTTCGTAAAGGGTAGTCAAATCCTGATCTCTCTCAAAACCCTTCCCAAAACTCCATTTTGGTATTTTAAAACATTTTGTAAGACTCATCCTCTCTCTGCCTTATCTTGAGATTGGAAAACAAAAAGATAGGAGAGGTCAAGGATACAGACAAGAACAAGGAAAGAACTCTCTCTCACCCTTCCCAGTTTTCCAACCCCAAAATAACTCTCTTAACTTACTATGTGATAAATGACCATACCACAAATCACACCACTGTAAAATGTAATGGAATTGTACTGTTTCCTGAGTTTCCAAAGTAGGGATAATAAGGCAAAAATGGCAGTTAATCAATTTTCTTTGATTAGGGAGTTACTGTTGCAGAACATATTCTGCCATCTCTCAAATATGCTCAATACAGGCAATTTCTCCTCAATTACTGAAGCAAAACCATTATGTTGAGCACCAGGTGAAGAAGATGGCTTGTGTATTCAGGGCCATGTTGTTTAAAACATGTATACTCTGAGCAAGAGTCATACTCAGTGCAGGGAGATATACACACTCTGTAAGAGAAAGGGGAACTGGAATTTAAGACAGCACGCAGAGCTCACTAAATGGACAGAAGAACAAGTTTTGAAGAAAAATAAAATTGAGGGGGCTGCAAAAGAATACAGTTAAATTCAGTAAGTTAAACATGCATAGGATGTAGCTCAGATCTAGAGTTAAGAGGACCAAAGAAAACTAAAACTAATTTTGCATTCCTACAGTTCTCTTTTCAAAGAAAAATGAAATTTCAAATCTCTTTGAATAGCCCTGAGTACATTTCCAAAACTGTCACCACATTATTTACAAATGTCTATCTACTTGTAGGTAT